TCTAAAGATGAAGTGCTTCGAATTTTCCTTAAATGAAAAAATATGATCGAGAACTAGACAGGTAGAAAGATCAAACGTATTAGGACGGACAATGGAAGGGAATATAAAAGTGACACATTCTTTGACATTTTCCATGAGTTTGGTATTGTTCGACACTTCACTGTTAGAAATACACCACAACAGAATGGGGTGACAGAGCATATGAATCGAACACTATTGGAGAAATTTCGATGTATGTTGTCTAATGCTAGGTTAAGTAAGGCATTTTGGGCTAAGGATGTGACATATGCTGGTCATCTCATCAATCGTCTGCCATCATCAGCGATAGAAGGAAAAACACCATTTGAGGTATGGTCTGAAAAACTTGGTACTGATTATGATTCCTTACATGTATTTGGATCCACTGCTTATTATCATATGAAGGAATCCAAGCTTGATCCGAGACCAAAGAAGGCTCTCTTTATGTGAATCACCCATGGAGCGAAGGGATTCCGCCTTTGGTGTTTAGACACCAAGAAGATAATTTGTAGCAGAGATGTTACCTTTGATGAATCTGCCCTAGTAAAGAAGGTAACAAATGAAGCTGTCCAGACAAGTAGTACTCCGCAGCAGGTGGAGCATACTCCAAAATATGTGGAGTTTCAGCAGACGATGATCCCAAAAGTTGATGTAGTTGATTCTTCAAATCTAATAGAAGAATTAGAAGATGAAGAGGTTCAAACCCAAGAACCTTTGGAGACACCAAAACCACTTGCAATTATAAGGCCAAGGAGAGAAATTCATAGACATGCTCGATTTGTTGATATGGTGGCCTATGCTCTTCCAGTTGTTGATGATGATATCCCTATCACTTACCAAGAAACAATACAAAGCTTGGAAAGTGATAAGTGGGAAAGTTTCATGGATGAAGAAATGTAATCTCTCCAAAAGAACAATACTTGGAAACTGGCACAATTATCGAAAGGTAAAAGAGCAATTGGATGCAAGTGGGTATTTGCAAAGAAATATGGATCTCATAGCAAGAAAGATGTTCGCTACAACGCAATGTTGGTAGCTAAAGGCTACGCTCAAAAGGAGGAAATCGACTACAATGAAGTATTTTCCCTTGTTATGAAACATTCCTCTATTAGAATAATGTTGGTCTTGGTAGCATAGTTGAATTTGGAGCTAGCTCAACTTGATGTAAAGAAGGTTTTCTTGCACGGTGATTTAGAAGATGAGATCTATATAACTCAGCTATAAGGATACAAAGATGGTGGTTGTGAGAAATGGGTCTGTAAGCTGAAGAAATCGCTATATGGATTGAAACTATCTCCGAGGCAGTGGTACAAGCGATTTGATAGATTTATAAGGAGGCAAAAGTACACTAGAAGAAAATATGATCATTGTGTGTATTTGAAAAAGCTCAAAGATGGATCTTTCATTTATCTTCTCTTGTATGTTGACGATATGTTGATCACTTCGAAGAGTCAGGAGATAGAGGCTCGGTTGAATCACGAGTTTAAGATGAAAGATCTAGGTGAGGCCAAGAATATTTTTGGTATGGAGATAAGCAGAGATAGGCAGAGAGGGAAGCTTTGTTTAGCTCAGAAGTAGTATCTGAGAAAGGTATTACAATGTTTTGGCATGAATGAAAATACCAAACATGTAAGTATCCCACTAGCTTCTCATTTGAAACTTAGTTCTCAGTTATCTCCTAAAAATAACGAAGAATGAGAGTATATGGCAAAAGTTCCATATACTAATGCAGTTGGGAGGTTGATGTATGCAATGGTGTGTACACATCCTGACATTTCACAAGCAGTTGGAGTTGTGAGCAGGTATATGCATGATCCTGGAAAAGGATATTGGCAAGCTGTGAAATGGATTCTACGGTATCTCCAACAAACTGTGGATGTTGGTTTAGTTTTTTTAATAGAATGAATCAATTGGTCAATGTGTGGTTGGATATGTTGATTCTGACTATGCTGGTGATTTGAATAAGCGTCGATCAACTATTGGGTATTTGTTTACTCTTGCTAAAGCCCCAGTAAGTTGTAAGTCTACTTTGCAATCTACAGTGGCTTTGTTTACTATAGAGACAGAATACATAGCAGTTTCAGAGACTGTAGAGGAAGCAATTTGGCTTAACTGGTTGATGGAAGACTTGGGAGTTGTTCAAAGTCACATTAGTCTCTATTGTGACAATCAGAGCGCTATTCACTTAGCAAAAAATCAAGTCTACCATTCAAGGACTAAGCATATCGACGTGAGGTATCACTTTGTGCGGGAGATCTTTGAAGAATGAAAGATTATACTTCAGAAAATTGTGGCAGCAGAAAATCCTGCAGATACGATGACCAAGGTAGTAACAGTAATCAAGTTCAACCATTGTTTGAACTTTATTAACATCCTGAAAGTTTGAGCACCTTCGGGTATATGGCGCATGTGAGCGCAATTAGAGGCACAACATAAAATTTGGGGAGTTGAAGAAGTTGAGTAGGCTTGGTAATTTCAAGCCAAGGTGGAGATTTGTTATGTTTGGCTTGTAAATTGTCAAAGTTGGCAAGTTGGAAAATTCATCTTTGGTAGGTGGTCAACTTTGCACATGGGAATTTCATCTTTGGTCCCTAAAATATTAGGTTATTTATAAGTTTAGTCCTTAAAACTCAACTATAAATAGGCCTAAGTATTTCATTTGAAATCATCCCAAAACAAGTTTTCTCTTCCATTTGTTTTCTTTATTCTCTTACTTTGGGAATTCTAAAGAATTCCATTTGTTGTATATTTGTTGATAGTGAAGTTATCATCCGGTGTGATGTCTGAGGAGTAGACGATATTCTCGTCGAACCTCATAAATTTGGCGTGTTCTCTCATTTATTAATCTTTATTCGGTTTTTTCATTGTGTTACAATATTCAATAGTGTGTCGGGTTTATCCGCTGTGCAACCTTTGATGGTTTTGATCTTGACATTTTAGGTCAATTTTGAAATTAAATTCGTGTGGGAAATAACTCGGTTTCCCCAACACCACAACTAGGGATGGCAAACGGGCGGGTCGGGTGCGGATACCCCCTCCCCCATCCCCATACCCACCTAATATTTTTCAATCTACCACCCACCCACCACCCATGATGGGTAAAAATTTTCAAATCCACACCTGCCCACGCGGGTACATTCTCAAATTCATCCCCACACCCGCTACCCACTGGAGACGTACCCGCCTAGACCCGCCTGACAACAAACTTAAGTTATACATAATCAACAAACATAAAACAAACACATCTATTAAGAAACATAATAAAATAAACCAATGATTATCTGAGTTAAGTGTTAATATAGATCTTAAAGTACATAAAACATCATAATAAAATACATAATTAAAGTCTAGAAACATAAATGACAAACACATAATGTTTTTGTTCTTTGGCACAACATTCTAAAATTTCAAGCAATACTTGTGACATCTGATACTCCAGTATTACAATCATCATTCTCATAAAACACCATAATAAAACACCAATATTGCAATATATTCGGTTGAAATTTGAATTTGAAAAAGTCAGTTTCAATGGCGTTAAAAATGGAGGTTTGAGAAGCTCAAGTGAAACACTTAATTCTATTCAGTGGCGTTAAAAATAAAGATTTGAGAAGCAACGATATGACTCTGTTAGCAAAAAACGTGGGTGCTCAGTCATAAGATACTGATTTGTAGAACATTAAGAAATTAAGCTTAAAACAAACATTAAGATTAATCTAAAAAATAATTAAAAATCAGTACGAGCAAATAAAAATTAAACTCTTAAAACGAAATGCAAAGGAGCTTAAAACGAAATAACTACGGAATTGACTCTTACAAAAATTAAATTTCAAGTAAAAAGGGAAAAAAGATACCTGAATAAGCTGGAGAGTGAAGACAAGAGGTTTGAAAGAAAAAAATTTATGCATAAACTTATCCCTAATATTTGGTTAAATTACAAGTTATATCTTATACAATATTAGGATTTATAAATTAGTCTCTTAAAATTACACCTAAATTCATAATGGTCCAAAATTTAATGGATATTTAGTTGGGCGGGCGGATGTGGGGTGGGTGGATGCAGTGCAGGCGGATGAGGGGCGGGTGGATGCGGTGCGGATGCGGGGCGGGTAAGGTCTCAAACCCATTACCCGCCCACTACCCGCGACGAGTACCACTTTCTAAATCCACACCCGCCCACTACCCACTAAAATTATACCCATCCCCGCCCCAATTGGAGCGGGTGCGGTACGGAATCCACAAAATTGTACCCACTTGCCATCCCTAACCACAACAGTGAGATACGCAGATTGCAAAGCAACACCAGAGACAATCAATTGGCAACCCGGAAGAAACTGACCCTCGTGGAAGAACATATTACGTCGATTCCAAATCTACCAAAGATGCACCAAAAGCAATATAAACCGAGGACCAGATAAGGAATGCATCGTATGCTCCAGCCAAGAACCAAAAGTTGGAAAAATCGTAGGGTCCGTAACAATGGAAAAACCAGCAACACCAAAAATGAGACTTACCTCCGGACAATCACGCAGAGCATGGGAGACAGTCTCCGCCGACGAACCGCATAAGCAACAATGTACCACAACAACACCAACATAGGAAAGTCGACAACCAACAAGGAGTGCCTTGTGAGCAGCCCTCCATCCAAACATACGCACTTGTGGGAGAGCGTGTAAACAGGAGAGAGCCACTACCGAGAGACATGTACATCTGCAGATTGACGCCGTATGATATCATATACATGTACAATTTACAATGGTATGATATCAATGTTGGAGTCTTGATGATACTTCTCGTCTCAGAGAAAGATTAAGAAAATTAAATATTTAAAAACTGAATATATTGGGAAAACAGAAAAATGAATACACTAGAACATGACTTATTTTATTTATTAAACAAGGAATTTAACACTTATTATATCTTGAAAAGAAGGGAGGTATAACAGAGGCAAAATGCCCGAATAAATCCCATTTCTTCACACTTTATAATCTTCACATGGATTTCAGTTATAGAGCTCAGGAGCAAGGCGAGGAGCAACAAGTGCTTCAAGCGGGGTAGATTTCATGTTAGTCAATCCAAGAGTGCCACTCATGTCGATCAAACCATTATTTGGTGTAGAGAAATTGAAGGCGTGTAAGAAATTAGACATGGTCAAGTACAGCATGTGAAGCGCAAACGATGTTCCAGGACAGCTTCTCCTACCACTGCCAAAGGGCATCAGTTCAAAATGCTGACCCCTAACATCCACATCTTTGTGGGTTGTCAGAAACCTTTCCGGCATAAATTCTGATGGTTCTGGCCATACGTTAGGGTCCCTTTGGATCCTATGAAGGTTTATAATCAGGCGAGTGCCTTCGGGGATTTCATACCCTCCAATATTGCAGCTTTCACTAAGCTCGCGAGGAGCTGAAAGAGGTGCAGGTGGATACATTCGTAATGTCTCTTTAACAATGGCTTGGATGTACACCAATTTCCCGATGTCTGATTCATTCACAAATCGGTCCTTGCTTACATGGGCGTCCAGTTCTTCTTGAGCCTTTTTCAGCGTTTGTGGTTTGTTTAGCATAAGCGAGAGACCATATATTAATGTAACGGTCGTAGTGTCACTGCCTGCAAAAATCATATTCTGCAATGCGCAAGTTTCATAATTTTCAGAAATTTAGAACTAATGGTGAAATATATTTTTACTAAAGGGAAGAAGATTGTACCAAGGAAGTGGCTTTGTTGATGGTATCAGCATCATATCCAGCGAGGTTTGCATCTTTAAGAACAGAGTTCATAACATCCATGAAATCCTTCTCCTTTTTGTTCTCATCCCATCTTCCGTTCTTCCTGTGGTCGTCGAGCCATCCATCGGCAATTTCGTCCAACTCTTTTGCAGTTTTCTTCATCCACTTCTCGTAGCCCCCCAAATCCAGACGTCGGAGAAAAGGAACTGCGTCTCCCAACACAAATATGCCCAACAAGTGAAAGAAATCCCGTAAAGCCTTGCGGTATCTGGACACCACTTTCTGGTCTTCCTCCACAGCAACATTATACCTCTTCCCAGCAACCGTCCTGAGAATGACGTTCAAAGTCAAGTCCGCAAAATGCTTCTTCATCTCAACCAACACCTTACCAGAGCCATCCTTTTTCTCAGCCCAAGTCTTGTATAGTTGTTTTAGTGACCCTCGTATTTCCGATACAAATACTTTCTTGAGCTGATCAATCCTGTGGTTGGATAGCACCTCCAACATTGTTATTTTGCGCATTTCACGCCAGTATTGTCCGTAAGGAGAGAACCCGAACATGGCATAGTTGTAACCCAGGTGTTCAGCAGCTGCCAATTTGGAACGAGAGGAAACAGCCATATCATTAGTGGTAAATATCTCCTTGGCAATATCTCTCGAATTCACCACCAGTGCCTGATGAACACCGATGCGGATCATGTAGGCAGGTCCGTATTTATCAGACAAATTTCCCAATGTTTCGTGAGGGGCCAACGGTCCGCCTAACAGCGGGAGGTGACCGATTAATGGCCATGCACCAGCTGCGACGGGTGCAGCTTTGCCGCCGCTGCCTGAGCTGGACTTTTTGAGTTTGGTGTACAAAAACAATAGTGTGATGGCTAAGACTAGTGCGTAACCAAAAGTCGGAAGATCAAGATCCATCACTGCTTTGATAGAGAAGTGCAGAGATGTTGTGACGAAGTTGATGGGGGAGATGTTGCGCTTTGCACATATAAATATAGTTGGAGTGGCCTAGCAAGACAAGGTTATCTCATAATTCAAGATTTTTATTCTAATTTATTAAATGTTGCTCCGTCATCAAAGTTGAACGTAGTTTCCGTGCTACCGGCGTACCTACTAAAGTCAACAAAATACAAAAATAATTTATTGAATTTTCGTGGAACTGTAACAACAGGATGAACATCAAGCACACCTGGTTATCTCATAATTCAAGATTTATTATTATTATTTTTTTGAAAAACTAACTTATTGAACAAGAAGATTAAAACATTTGAACTAAATTTAAAATTTTCAATAGACTGTAATTAAATTCAAGTTGCATGAAATATTTTCGGATATCCGAAAATATTTATCACTATGATTTGATTGGAGAAGTCATTATTGACATCGGTATAACTTAATCAATTTTATATTACTTTTTTTTTATATTTAGAAAATGATACATTTATAAAAGGGAATGATGAAAAATGTATATAAAAATATGTATGAATTAATTTATTTTAATGATTAAAGGATTATTGTTATGACCTGAACATTATATATGCAGGTGTATTAGCTTGGGGTTTGACATATTGGCCGTGAAATTCATGTTCTAAGTAAGTGAGTCAGCCAGTGACACGAGCCATTGAATGCTTGATGGACTGGAGATACGGAAAGGTATGTGATTAAATATGTATTAATTAAATTTAAATTATTTTATAAACGATTAAATAAAAGAGAGAACATAGGTAAGACTTCCTCTCATAAGTTGAGATAAAAGTAACATTTTATGGTATAATATGAATTTATAAAAGTTTATAGAAATATATTTATAAAATTTTATGAAATAAATATATATATTATTAATAAAAATATTAAAAAATTTATATTATATTAAAGTTTAAAATTTTTAAGAGGACAATCGCTCTCGTCATTCCCTTCTTTGATCCATCTCTACTTACAAATAACTTTATACTCTTAAACTTTTTATAGGTTAAATGAGATCTGAGACTTAAGCTTTAATTCTCATCGATATGTTAAAGAATATTCAATCGATTAAATTAATTTATATTATTTTGTAAACAAATGAAAAATGAAAACAAAAGATAATGTCAAATTTCACATTCTTTTACTAATATGAGTCAAAAACTTTAATATATTCATTATCATCCGTTAGAAATTACTTATTCCTTCTTTACACGTTTCATGACCAATTTGACAAGTATTGTTTTTTGAATAGTTTGGACGATTATATAGTAGTATTTATTCATAATTTTTCTTAGTCATTAATAATACACATACTTTGCTGACACAACTATTTAAACTCAAAACTTCTAATAATATAATACTTCCTTTAACTACTAAAATCGCTCGATAAGTTTAATTTAACAAATAATTTTAAATAAAGAATTGTGATTTGAAAGATAGGAGGGGTAAAAAAACATCAGCACAATATTACTAAATTTAATATTAGATTCAATTTTCCAAACTTAAAAACTAGAAAAATTACAAGTTAATGTAATTAAATGAGCACCCATCCTTCCACGCTACTCTAAGTCAATATTATTTGCTATTAAAAAAAATTGGAGCAGTCAAGGTCGTTCCAAATCTCCATTAGCCAACCCTGACAAAATTTAATTATAACCACACGATAGTGTTTTGGTATCATGAACTAAATTATTTTAAAATTTTCATCTAATTAATTTTGTTGTAGTTTAATTTGATTTAAAATTGAGAATTTAATTTTATAATTAATAATTCATTCTATAACGCAATTGTATTGTATATTTATAGTATTTTTATATTTTATACATGTATTTATTATTTTCTCGTATTATATTGGTATAAAGTCTGAATTTATTTTACATTTACATAATTTATCTTAATAATATAATATTTAAAAAAAATTAAATTATCACATCGGTTTAGGTTTTTCTTAATTTTAATTATGATAGGTAAATTTTAATTATATTATTTTCTTAATATTGCTGATCAATTAGTCAACATTAATGATCAATGGTTACAATATTCAATATTGTGGTCAATATAAAATTAAGCTTCATATTATATTTAATGCACAATAATCTCATGTCCTAGTCAAACCTTTCACTAAGAAAATAGTTAAATATATATATAGCGTTATCATATATATTATATTGTTCTATTTATTTATATTATCGTTGACCCGTTGGTTGGAATAAACTATAGACGTCATAGAAGTTGGGATATTGTCTTAATGAATTTTATAAATTAAAAATGTAAATTATAAATTACACTATAATAATTAATTATAATAAATAGAGTTAATCGTAATGTTATTTCTCTTTGAAAAAGATAAAGACATTCATTCTACATTTTATAAAGTAGAGAAGTATTTTTTTTTTTTTTTGGTTAAGTTTTGCTTTCGTTACCCAAAAAAGAGAATATAAACTGCTACAAATCAACATAAAATTACATGCTCTACCTACACTCTAAGAAGCAACAATAACCCAACCAAAACTACGACAGAATCATGCATGTCGCTTAAAAAGAATCCCCCAAGTAGCACAAAGCTGCAAATTTACAGAGTCAAGCCTTTCAATATCCTTCCTACTAAATTGAATATCAGCAATCTCCCTATTTAACCGCAAAACAACATTAGTGGAGCGAGTCCGATTTTATAAAATCCGATAGTTTTGTTCAGACCAAATAAAATATAGATGCGCACTCAAAGCAACTCTCAAAGTGCAAGCAATAAAGGATTTACGTTTAAGTAAAGATAGAGCCCGTCGAACTTCTTAATCCCAAGCCATGACCTGTCGAGTCAAATGATATATACGCAAAACACCTTCCCATACCTCTTTCGAAAAGAAACAAGAGAAGAAAATGTGGTCTCTTGTCTCCAAATGACCACAAAAAACACATTGACCATCCACGGCAACACTTCACTGCAACAATTGATCCTTAGTGGAAATCCTCCCCTAGATAACAAGCCAAGCAATAATAGCATGTCTAGGAATATGGAGCGGAACCAAATCAATATATGCCATGAAACCACCTCCCCTTTAGACCGAGCCTCAGACCATAACCAAGAAGTAGTAATAATCCCCCAATCACCCAAAGACCCAAGCAAAGGGTAAGCCTCCTCCCTCAATTTGAATATCCTCCCCATGCACCAGCTAAAATGGCTCTTATCGACTGCTTGCTACAACCCAATGCCCTTCAAGATATAAGTGTGTATCCAAGCAACCCACAAGGAGTCTTGACCTGCCAAGATATTCCTTATAAGGGAAAAAAGACATGCCTTGTTCCAAGTTTTTAAATCCCTCAACCCAAGCCCGCCCTCCGACTTAGGAGAACAAATCTACCGCCAACTAACCTTAGCCCCAACAACAGAGGAATCAACCCCTTCCAAAAAAATCGGACACAAAGTTGCTCAATAACCTTAATGACAACCTGAGGCAAAACAAGCTGCCTACACCAGTTATTGGTCACACTAAACAAGACAGCGTGGATGAGTTGCAACCATCCTGCATAGCTAAGTTTGAGATGACACCAATGCCCCAATCTAGCTTTAATATTCGCAATGAGAGAATAACAATCTTTCTCAGCCAGTTTTCTAGTAACTGAGGGAACACCAAGGTACTTGATTGGGAGGAGACCAATCTTAAAATCATAAAACCGCCGAATTTCCTCCAACTTGGCAGCACCAACCCCAGAAGCAAACAACTCACTCTTAGTAGCATTAAGGCGTAAGCCAGACAACTCATAAAACTGCTCCAAAACGCATTTAATCCCAATAATCTATTCCAATGAGCCCTTACAATATATAAGGAGATCATCAGCAAAACTTAAATGCGTCAGTCCAATTTTCTTGTATTTAGGATGAAACTGAAACTTCTTAGAAGCAACAAGATCTAAAACTCAAGAAAGGATATTCATGACCAAGACAAAGAGATAAGGATAAAGCGAGTCTCCTTGTCTTATGCCCCTGCCCCCACCCTGTTGAAAAGTCTTCTCAATCACCGAAAGGTGATAATAAAGAAAGAAAAAAAAATCCACCGAAAGTGGAAATTGCTTTAGGTGGCAGAAAATGTTGAATTTTAGACAATGGTAGAATCATAATTTAGCCATTGTAATTTAGGGTATTTACAAATTAGTCCTTAGGTTTCAACTATAAATACCCTAGCTCATTTAGCTTCAAAATCATCCCAAAGCATTCTAGCTTTCTTCCAATACTAGAGAGAATTTAGAGAGTTTCTTGAGAGTTGTTTTCTCCTTTTTTTTTATCGAGAGAGAATTATCATTGTTTTCTCCTTGGTAGATCGAGAGAGGTTGTAATTCCTATTTTCTCATAGTGAAATTCTTCTACCGTTGCCCGTGGTTTTTACCCTATTTTATTTAGGGGTTTTCCACGTAAATTTTGTGTCTCTTTTTATCTTCATTTTTATTTTCTTAAATTATCAGTTACGATTTTGCTCTATCCGATAGCCGTCTTCCGCAACAATTGGTATCCGAGCTAGATTAGAGTGTGTAATATCTGTTTATTGTCTTTGTGGTTGCCACCAAAAGGTGGATCCTCCAATAAGAAAGTAAGAAGTTATTACCCATTCTTTGAAGGTTCCAGAGAACTATTCACGATAGTGAAATAGTGGGAGCTATCCGTAGAAGAAGCTATGGCAACGAAATTTGATATTGAAAAATTCAATGGGAGAAATTTCTCATTGTGGAAATTGAAGATGAAGGCCATCCTAAGGAAAGACGGGTGTCTAGCGGCTATCAATGAAAGGCCGGTGGATTTCGCAGATGACATCAAATGGAACGAGATGGACGGGAATGCTATGGCAAACTTTCATCTAGCATTAGCAGATGGAGTATTGTCAAGCATCGAGGAGAAGAAGACAGCTAAGGAGATATGAGATCATCTCATCAAATTGTACGAGGCCACATCGCTGCACAATAAAATTTTCCTTAAGAGGAAATTGTACACTCTCCGTATGCCAGAATCTACTTCAGTGACGGAGCACTTAAATACACTGAACACCTTATTTTCT